CAGACATGTATATATATTTACTTTTTTTTCTTTTCTATGTAAAGGGTATAAATACTTTAAATATCTTTTGTTTTTAAATGTTAAAAACTTAAGATCGCTGAGCAGCCACTGTGTGCTGGGTGGTGTGGAACTCCTCTTTACCGGTACAGCACTTCTTTGTATGCTGTGTTACTCTTTAGGAGAACATGAACATCTTTTAGCTCTAGGTATTTCAGCAGTTTGCAGCTATTCTGCAGTTTCAAGCAATGCTGAAGCAAGTACCTTGGTGATATTCATTCTTGTATTACTGGAGACTTATCGACAGGGTAAATCCCAGGGAGGGATTTTGGTAAAAAGATAAATAAGTCTGTAGTTTCGGACTTTGATTTCATCAGAGTCTTCCCGAAAGGCCGTCTGGGTTTGCATTCCCACTGGCTGCCAGAAACGCTCCTGTTTCCCGGTGACTTTGCCAACAGTGCTGCCAGGCGTCCTGATTTTTGCCAATCTAGTGAGTGAAGAATGATGTCTTGGGGTTAGAAAACTGAGTCCAAGGTGACCATATTTTCCCATGGTTAAGAACCATCTTTTTATATATATATATTTAAAGATGGGCCCTCGCTGGTGGCGCAGCGGGTCACAGCACAGCACTGAGAAGCTAAAGCCACTTCCGCATGAGTTCTACCCCCGCCTGCCCCGGAGGTGACCACATGGCGCGGCAGACCTCTCCTGACCCGCCCGCTGCTCCCCTCAGCAGGGTACTTCGTCGATCTGCCTGTTCTGCTCCCCACTCTGTCTCTGGTGAAGCCTCTCGCCGCCCTTGAGCCTCTGGCCTGTACCCCAGTTCTGTATGAACAAATAAATCTTTAAAAAAAAAGATTTATTTATTTATGCATACAAAGCTGGGGTACAGACCTGAGGTGCAGGGGTGGTTAAAGGATTCTCCAGAGACAGAGTGGGGAGCAGAACAGGCAGATCAATGGGGTACCCTGCTGAGGGAGCAGCGGGGAGACAGGAGAGGTCTGCTGCGCCCTGGGGGTCAGCTCGGGGTGGGGATCGAACTCACACTGAAGCGGTCTGGCCAGCCTGCAGTGCTGTGCTTTGCCCTGTTGCACCACCAGGGAGGATCCCCCCTTTTTTTTCTGAGAAGGTTGTGGTTGTTCATGTTTGTGTCTCCTCTTCTAAAGGGGCTTTTGTCTTACTTCCAGTTGTCTGAGTTCTTCCTCTATTAGCGGTATCAACCTTTTGTCCATGATAAATATCTTTTTCCCTAGCTTTTATATGTCTTTTGGCTGTACGGTGTTTTTTCCCCTCCATATCAATTTTATTTTTATGTGGCCGGCCCTTTGTCCAACTTTTATTGTCTCTGGACTTTGAGTCCCATCACAGAGCCTTTTCCTGCACCTCGTCTTACTTCACTGTAAACCGCAGACCTCTGAACCTTTTGGAGTTTGCGCGTGATGCAAGTTACAGATCTCGTTTGATCTCTTTCCAAGGGGCTCTCTGTCTGGGCGCCCCTGGGCGCGAAGTCTGAAGTCTGCTTTGAGTCAGAGGCTCAGCAGGCTGAGCAGGCTGAGCCTCTCAGGTGGCTGCTGCTGTTTTCTGTTGCCTGTTGCCGTCTGCCTGTGCTGCACCCGCGGCCTCAGTAACGGCCTTTGCGGGGCACTTTACCGCAGGCTCTGTCCCTGCGCGCCACCCTTTTCCCATTCGCGCGCCTCGGTTGTTCAACTCTCCTTCCCAGTTCCTTTGACTGGCCGTCAGAAGCACGCGCCGGCCAGTAACTGGAGCCTTTTGCTTGGGGCGCAAGGATGTGCACTTGGGGGTCCTCTGTAGGTAGTCTGAATTGTGGGGCTGGTAAGGTACAGGGTGCAAAATTCCTATGGAAAAATCAGTAGGCTGCTCACACACGAGTGGGGAGGATGTAAGCACAGAACAATTAGCGGTATAGCAACAATACAGCAGCCAAGCAAGCCCGGGAACTGGGAATGGCAGAACCTGTCTGAGAAGAGCTTCTGCCTGGAGACCTGGAATTCACACGAGTCTGTGGAAAGGTGGACTTGAACAGCAGTGATTCACCCATTCTTGCAAACGATGACTCCCTGGAATAGATGCTCCCCAAGTACATGTTTACACGGAATGAGACTCCAAGACAATAGCAAAATATTTGCTCTAGCTCCTAAACGGGCTCAAATTCGTCGTGGAAGAACGGACGTGTAAGAATGGCTGGAAGAACAGGCTGGAAAACCCGAGGGGAGTGGGCGCCAGCCAGGCGCCCGCTGCTGCCACCTGCCTCCGAGGCCGGGGGCTGCACCCTGGAGGGACAGTGAGCCCCGACCCTGGCTTGGTCCAGTCGGTTCTGAGTTGTGGGTTTCCGAGTCCAAATCCTGGAGACAGACCGCAAAGAGGTCAGGCGAACTGAGACGCCCCCCACCTCACGGTGGGATTTGGAGAAACGCAGCTTCACGGCGTGGGAGAGAATGGGCGGGTGGGATGCGGGCTTCCGTGGCGCCAGGTCCTCACACGCGGGCCTGGCGAGGGCCCTGAGGGCAAGGCCGCAGACACAGCTGCCGGGCACCGTGACGGGGTGCGTTTACAGGTGAACGCGTGGCCCGCGCCGCGTGGAACGTGAGCACACGCGAAGGTCTATTGATCACACCCCTGAGGGAAGACACTGGACAGCGCGGATGCGGGGTCAGCGGGCACGAGGCAGACACGGGCAGCGGGCCGGAGGGCGGCTCCGGGCAAGGCGGTGACGGCCGCCCCATCTTCGTGGTGCACAGCCGATGTGCATTTCTAGGGACCAGAGTCACTTTTATTATTAGTTTTCTACAACTCAGGGAGTTGCAAATAGTTCAAAGACAAGGGAAAGTGCAGATCCTTTCAGAATCAGCCCGAAAGGGCCCCTCACACGCTCGCGTGCAGTCAGTCTCGTCTGTCGGGCTCCGCAGCTGCGAGCCACACCCGCCCCAGAGTGCAGGCTCTCCTCCGTGCAGGGGCCGTGAGGCGAGGGCCGGTCCCCAGATGCGTGGGCTGGCCGCTCCGCACACGTCCCGTCCACGTGCCTCGGCCCCAGGGGCGGAGTCCTGCCTGCGCCAGGACCCCGCGGCTTCCTGAGGTCTCTGCAACCGCAGCCGGCATTCCAACTGCTGTCCC